TAGGGCACAGATTAAATTTCAATAGATTTTTAAAAAGCACTGAAGTTTAAATTAATAATACAAATAAAGTAAGGGCTGGAGAGATTGCTCAGCGGTTAAGGGCACTGGCTGCTCTTCCAGAGGTCCTGAGTTCAATTCCCAGCAACCACATGGTAGCTTACAACCATCTGTAATGAGATCTGGTGCCCTCATCTGGTGTGCAGGCATACATGCAGACAAAGCACTATATACATAATAAATAAATCTTTAAATATATGTGTGTGTGTGTGTGTGTGTGTGTGTGTGTGTGTGTGTGTGTGTGTGTAAGAAATTTTCCACATTTGTAGAAATTAAACAACATGCTTTTTTTTTTCTTTTAAGTTCTAAAGATACACCTAGGCCCTCAAGAATGATACACAAAAACTTCATTCCACCAAGCTCTATCCCAGTCCTAACCAACAAACTCTTAACAAGTGGACCAAAGAATTGACAGGAAAGAAAATCAGCCAGGTGATGGTGGCACACACCTTTAATTCCAGCACTCGGGAGGCAGAGGCAGGCAGATGTTTGTGAGTTTGAGGCCAGCCTGGTCTATAGAGAAACCCTGTCTTGAAAAAAAAGTGCTTAGAGAAAAATGAAGAAAAAAGAAAGGAAATATATAATTATACACACACACACACACACACACACACACACACACACACACACACATACATGAGACAGAGAGAGACAGAGACAGAGATCTAATCAATGACACAACTTCATAAACTCAAGGATTAGGGGGAAAAAAGAACAAACCTAATACTAGCAGAAAGAAGAAAATAATTCTTAGAAATTAGGTCAGAAATTTTTTAAATAGAAAAAAATCAATGAAAATAAAAGTCAATCTTTGAAAAGATCAATAAAATTGATAAACCTAAAGCTGACAGGCAAGGGAAAAAAGGCCTCTTAGAAGAAAGCAGGGCAAAAGCTTCATGACACTGGACTAAACAATGATTTCTTGAATGAAACAAAAGAATAGGAACAAGAACAAATAAAACTAGACTAACTGGATTTTATGAAAATTAAAAGCGTCTGTATTTGGGCTGAGGCAATGGCTCCGTGAGTAAAACACTTGCTGCACAGGCATGAGGACCGAGCTCAGATCCCCAGATCCATGCAAAACAGCTGGCATGGCTGCACAGACCTGTAACCCCAGCAAGAGGGCAGGTAAAGACAGAGACAGGATGATGGCTAGGCTTGCTGGCCAGCAGGACTAGAAAAACAGTGAACTACAGGTTCAGTAAGAGATCCTGTCTGGGGCACGGGGGAGAAGTTGGAGGGGAGAGAATGGGGAGGTGATCAAAACACACTATATACATGCAAGAAATTATCAAACAATAAAAAAGAAAATAAATAAAGAACCTGTCTGAAGGGAATAAGATAAAGAGCAATAGAGGAAGATAACCAATATCTCCCCTAGCCTCCATCTGGTTGTATCCCTGCACACACATCTATGCATCAAAAGATGGTATCAACAGAGCAAAATGTCAACATATGTAATGGAGAAAAGTATTTGTCAACTATATATCTAACAATAAATTTATATCCAAATTGCCTAGGAAACTCCTAAAATTCAACAAAACCTTGGTTCAAAATGGACAAAGACTTGAATAGGTATTTCCTCCATGAAGCCTAAATGAGCCTCCCTAGTGGGCCATGCCCACACCTGCTATAAGGATCACCTACTAGAAAATCATTAGCATATCCTGTGTGACCTGGGAAAGGACTCTAGGAAGTTTACACCTGGTTTCTTCTGCACTTCATCCCACATCCTTTTGTCTTTGCTATTCTTCTTTGTATCCTTTTGCTATAATAAATCCAAGCCATGGATGTGACTCTATGTTGAGTCCTGTGAGTCCTTGTAGTAAATCACCAAATCTGAAAGGGTATTTGACAAACAACATACCCACTCACCACCACCTTCACACACTCAAACACAGTCCCCCCCACCATGGTCCACTCATTGTGAGAATGTTCTTCTCACAGTATGAGCCCAGGGCTTTATTCCAGCAGCAGTTCCACATAACAAGCACAGGAGCCACCTGGATAGCTTCCCTACCAGGCATGCTCTCAGGGTTCGCCTACACCTTGGATTCAGTGGAGCAGGGGTCAGATCAGGCTACAAAACTGTTAACTGATCCCTCTAAGGGCTTAGTCAGGCTCGGGGACATGAAGTTAAAACAAGACTTCTTACATCTAGAATCTTGACTGCTGAGGTTTGACACAGGTTTAGACAATGACTGAAGAGCTCTTTGGTATGTTCTCTTCCCAGGGCTCTGTGTCCTTCCACCACCAGTGAAAGGACATGGTCTACATTCGAGTTTCTTAGTGTTTTTGGTAGTTATGGGTCCCTTCAAGAATCTGATGAGCCAGGCGGTGGTGGCACATGCACTCGGGAGGCAGAGCCAGGCAGACCTCTGTGAGTTCGAGGCCACCTGGTCTACAGAGTGAGATCCAGGTCAGGCACCAAAACTACATGGAGAAACCTTGTCTCGAAAAAAAAAATATCTGATGAAAGTAATGTATGCTTTCCCTAGAGAACACACACACACACACACACACACACACACACACACACACACTTTTACCTACAACCTAGATGACTCCACTATTCCCACATGTAGATCCTGTGTTTCATTCAGCAATAAGGTCCGCCAACTCTCACACCGTACAACTCTATCAACAGCCCAACTGGGCCATGAGATGAGCTCTGCCACCTCAAATCCTCCACCTCATGAGTATTGTTATTAGCACCAGTCTCTTAATATCTGTAAAATTACAAAGACCAAGACTAATTTTCTCTCTGCAGCACTACAGACAGAGATAGAGGGTTGCATCAAGTACAGTTATTAAATTTCCATATTTAGATGTGCAAAACCAGGCTCCTCTCGGGTCCTTGGAAGCCATTCAGTTCCCAATAATTAGATCAGCAGCTGTGGCCGTAATTCTTCATATTTTCACTAAGGTGGGCTAGAGGCCAAGTGAGGTCCTGGTTCAGTGGAGGTGGAGGCCCCAGTGGATTGTAGAGTGGGGGGTTAAGGCCCTCTTTTAGGCTTTGCCCTGAGACAGCCACAGGTCTTGGCTTTTGTGGGTAACAAATGCATGCAAAAAGGTATCAGACCAAATGAGATGTCACCTCCCCTCTGAAGCTCTTCCTGGCCTCCAAGGCACACTGAACCCTTTGATCTCCAACAACACTGACAGTCTGGCTATTACAATGGCTTCTGGTGGGATACTTGTCTGCCTCCCCAGAGTATGAGCAACCCAAGATCCAAGTATGTTCATCCCCATCAAATTCCCAATAACCATATAGTGAAGGGGAACAGATCAGCCTCAAGTGCTGCATGCTCTTCTCTAATATTCCAGCTCCTCTCAGTTCCAGGAGAAGTCATTGCCAACTCTGATCAGTCCCATAAGATTGGCTGATGGCTGGAACTTAAGGCAGACTGGCTAAGGTCAGTCCTGAGACTTTTGCTGAGGCTGTCCAAGGAGAGGCATTTCCTTCCCACAGGCCATGAAGCTGATTTATGGGCATCTGGAAGTGCAGGTGACTATCACTAATGAAGGGCTGGATGGAGCATGAGCTCAGGCCAACTTAAGGGACAGCAGAGCTGAGAGATGGAGAGAGAGGCAATGTCCTAATGGTCTTGGAGACTCTGGAATCAGCCATGCCTGCAGCCAGTGCCACACATTCCAGTTTCACCAATCAATTTATTTCTTGTTTGGACTAGTTTCAAGCAACTTTCTGTTACTTATAACCATGAGTCCTAGATAAGCTTCCCAGACTTCCTCAGAGTTACTCTTCATGTCATAATGAATATACTCTGGGCATGAGGACAATGGTGACTTGCTTGGGGTCGTAGAGTAGCTAAAACTTAGGTTACTTGACATTCTCAGACAATTCTCCTCTGCCTGGAGTTCAGCACTAGAAGAAACCAAAAGCCACTAGAGAGTGAGATGCTCACTCAGCAACACCCCATCTGGCAGGATCCAGGCCCCAGAGGCGCAAAGGGAGTCCTTCTGTAGCAATCAATGCATAGACTGCTTCAGCTCAAAGGGAGTTTTCTATTCTGAATGCTATTCAGAGTCAGTGGAGAAACTAGGGGGAAAGCTAAAGGTTAGCAGCTCAAGGTATCCTCTCCACTGTGTCCATTCACTCTGTCCTGTTGCTGCTGCTATTGGAATCAGCCTCAAGTTCTAACACTCAGGTGTCTCTGAGCCAGTTATCATATTACACATTGACAGTGCACCTGACACCCTTGGATCCTCACACCAGCCTGGAAGGGGTAGTTTACCTCAGGAATGGTAACTGTCTTAGATAGGATGACTGTTGCTGTGATGAAATATCATGATGGGAAGGAAAGGGTTTATTTGGTTTATGCTTCCACATCCACAGTCCATCACTGGAGGAAATCAAGACAGGAAGTCAAACTGGGTGAGAGAATGTAGAAGCAGGAGCTGATGCAGAGGCCATGGAGGAATACTGGCTTGTTCCCCATGGCTTTGCTTATTCTCCTTTCTTATGGAACCTATGACCACCAGCCAAGGGATGGCACACACCCACAATAGTTTGGGCCCTCCTGCATCAATTACTAATTAAGAAAATGCTCCCCAGGCTTTTCTACAGCCCAATATTATGGAGGCATTTTCTCAGTTGGGGTTCTCTCCCCTCAGATGACTCTCACCTGTGTCAAGTTGACATAAAATGAGCCTTCACAGTAACTGTGGATGGTGTGGAACCTGGGACCTGTATTTATGGTGCTGAACATTGTTGAACAATCCTAGGAACAATCTCCTTCAGTTTGGGGCTAACTTTTTGCAAAGTATTGTTTGTAATTTTAGTGTACTAATGCTTGTGAATCTGGTCTGTCCATGTCAGTTCTTTATTACTCAATAAGTATATTAGCTACTTTTGTGTTGCTGTGACCAAACTATATGATATGAACAACTTAAGACAGGAGAGGCTTATTTGGACTCACCATTTCAGTTCATCACAGTAGGGATGGTATGGTGGAGCAACTCATTCTACAGCATCAGGACCATGTGGCAGAGTCCCCTCACAGCATGGTGGACTAGGGAACAAAGAAGATAACAAGAACCAGAACTGGGCTAAAACTTTCAAAGGCCCAGCCCTACCGATCAACTTGCACCAGCCAAGCTCTGCTTCCTATAGGTTTCACAGCCCCTGGAGTAGCACTACCAGCTGGGGACAAAGCATTCAAAACATGAGCCTAAGGAAGATGTTTCACATCCAAATAGTATCATTGGCTCTTGCTTTGGACCAGTAAGTGATCCATTTTTATAAATATTCCATGTACATATTCCATATGTAGTTAAATGACAACCACCATAAGGCTTCTCTACATAACCACCTAATAGAGCTTTTACCCACTAAGCAATCTCACTGGCCCTTCTTTTCTGTATATTTTATAAAAGTTTTATATCCTTGGTGCCTTGGACCAAATTTTTTTCTGAATCTCATTAGTTTTGAAAGTATTGTCTACATTTATTCACTCATGTCCTCCAAGGATGGGCCTGCTGTGTTCATCAGTGTTATGCCCATGGGTCACACAACATCATGCCTATGGGGCATGTGAAAGGGGTAGCAGCCAGCAGCATCTAAAGCTTGTCTTTCTGAGAACATTTGCTGCCTGCAGCTTCAAGCCTTAAGCCCACATTCTGGGTACCACACAAGGTGTTACAGCTTTATTCAAGTCATCAAGACACAATCCTATTAAGATATACATTTTTCCCATCCAAAATCAGTGCTGCACACTGTCTCTACTAAAATGACTAATAAAATGTAATTTTTGATGTTAATATTCAAATGCAAACAAACATATGTGATTTTAAAACATTTATAAAGAAACCAGATAAAAATGCTTGTTACAAATGTGTGGAAAGTGAGGGTTAACAGGCTTATAGAAAACAGCTCCCTCTTCTGCTTAAAGAAGTTTATCTAGGTGTGGTGGCCATGCCTTTACTTTAATCTCATCACTCAGAGGCAGAGGCAGGTGATCTCATATGAGGTTGAGACCAGCCCGGTCTACAGAGTGAGTTCAGGCCAGCCTGGTCTACAGAGTGAGTTCAGGCCAGCCAGGGCTACATAGTGAGAACCTGTCTCAAATAAAACAAAACCCTGCCGCTGGAGCCACCTGTTCAAGGTAGCAAAAATTCCTCCATTACTGCTGCCTCCTTCTCAGCCTCCCACTAGACAGCCCTTATCTGTGGGGTCATACCCCTAGAAAAGTGGCCACTGCTGGGCTCATCTGAGTAGCTCCCAACATGGAGTGAGTGCTGGAGGATGCAGTGATTTGCAGATGTGTGTGATTATTTAGATTGCCATTTTCCTTTACTCTTTTTCTAGAAGTGAAAGACTTCCACTGGTCAAATTCAAATCTCTGCAACTGGGTTCTCATTCCTTCATGTGAAACCAAGCTGAAAAGGAGACCCCTCAGCACAGCCAACTCAGTGTGCTCTCTCTTCTCTACAGTGCTAGGTACTGACTACAAGGCCTGTGCACACTGGTTAAGTGCTCACAGCCCATCCCTTTAAAGGTGTTCTCTGATCTTGGGATTTTCAGCCCTCTGTTTGTTCCCACACTCCATTCTGCAGCCCCCAGATTTCCTCACCCAACAGACGTTTGTTCCAAGATATCAAAAGTCAGAATGGGTACCAAGAGTCCCTCCTGCCAAAGGTCCCAACAAGGAGCATCAGCACTGCCTGTGACAACCAGGTAACAAGGGCAGAGTCCTTGAGGACTAAGAAAAGAAAGTGACCCATTCTATTATGTATGTGAGAAAGGGGGAAGTTTCTGGGATCATTTAAGCCGAGCTTTAAAAGGCAACAAGGGAGCCGGGTGGTGGTGAAACACACCTTTAGTCTCAGCATTTGGGAGGCAGAGGCAGGCATATCTCTGAGTTTGAGGCCAGCTTGGTCTACAGAGCGAGTTCCAGGATAGCCAGGGCTATGCAGAGAAACCCTATTTTGAAAAACCAAATAAAAATAAAATAAAAGGCAACAAGGAGGAAGGGAAGAATATTTGTAGCAACTGAAACAGCTTGTGTGAAGGTAAAAATATGTGAGTGTGCACAATGGACAGATGGTAGGGGCAGATGCAACACCCTTTTAGTATCCAACCACTATCATGGTCCTAGCAGGACCAGAAAAGGGTCCAGGAATCCATTGGAACTGAAGCTTACTCCAAAGAGCCTCAGTCCTGCCTTAAGATTCAGAAACTCAAGATTCTGAAGCCCCAAGCCAGGTTCACCAAAAAGGACAGACATACCCTAAAATTTGGGGCTGCCTGAGGAAGCTGCACCTACAGACTTAATAACCCACCATGCACACACCATGTTTGTGTAGCTCAGCTGAGCCCCTGGACAAACAGCTAAAAATAGAGTCAGGGTAGATTTCCAGACAAGACTATGATGCAGTCAAACCCAAAAGATTCAAAGATTGGCATGGTAGTGAAAACAAAATTATCAACTAGCTTCTCTGGCTTGCACAGCACTGTGCTCCATCAGCAAGAGATTTTTTTCCACTGAGCACCAGCTAGTCCTGTCAAGAGATGGGGCGCTTGTCAGCACCCCTTAAACAAACTATGGCTCATCTTTACAGCAGCAGAACATGGTAGTTCTATTTATACAGATCTGGAAAGATTCTAAGATATGTAACAAAATCAGGCAAATTGTAGTATATTTTATTGTAGTATATAGCTGAGTAGAGAATCTCAGCTACAGTAAACTAAAAGAAAAAGTATGTGTGTATGTGTCTTAGTTAGGGTTTCTATTGCTGTGAAGAGACACCTGACCACAGCAACTCTTATAAATAAAAAAACATTTAATTGGGGTGGCTTACATTTTCAGAGGTTTAGTCTATTGTCAACATGGTGGGACATGGTGGCATGCAGGCAGACATGGTGCTGTAGAAGGAGCCAAGAGTCCTACATCTTTGATCCACAGGCAACAGGAAGTAAACTGAGGTACTGGACACGACTTGAGCATATATGAGACCTCAAAGCCCACCCACACACTTCCTTCAACAAAGCTATACCCACTCCAACAAAGCCACACCTCCTGATAGTGCTGCTCCCTATGAGCTTATGGGGGCCAATTACATTCAAACTACCACAGTCTGCACCTCTGTGAGTATATAAATGTTTGTAAAAGCTCCAACCCCATGCAGTGGCGTTAACCCACTAAAGGCTCTGTGAGGTCAGCTAACTTGACCACGTGGTCCATACATTAAAGAATTGGAATATAATAACAATCTCTGAGATCCACATAGCATTTTTTAAACAGTGAGATGATACACATGAATTCATTCATAACAAACATGAATGGGGTAACTGCTGTGGACTTGGTGCCATCTCCAGCCCAGGAGATGACTGATGAAACCTTATCAATAAAGCCCCTGCCCTTCAGATCTCTGTGAGTTCCCAGGCCAGCCTGGTTTACATTGTGAGATCCTGTCTCTAAATAAATAAATAAATAAATAAGTTCCTGCCCTTCTGGTATTTGCCTCTCAGGAGTTGCCATTGGGGAAGGAATGGCACATGATGGACAGGATCAGAAGAAAAGTATTAATGCTATCGGTATTTTTAATTTTTAATAACATGAGGGAAACTACCATTGGAATAATTTAAAGGTTTTTTGGGTTTTTTTTTTTTTTTTTTTTTAGTTTGTAGCCGGAAGATTTACTGTGTCCCGGCCTGCTGGCAGTTGGGGTAAATCTCTCCCACTTGCGTCCCCCAAGTAAACACACAGAGGCTTATATTAATTATAACTGCATGGCCATGGCTCAAGCCTTTTACTAGCTAGCTCTTATATCTCAAATCAGCCCATAACTATTAAACTATTAATTTATGTATCACCACATGTTCCGTGGCTTTACCTTGGGTGGCTCACTGGCGTTTCCCCCATCTTCTTCCTGTCTCTCCTTTGAATTTCCCACCTGCCTTTAAGCTGCCTTGCCATAGGCCAAATGGCTTTATTTATCAACCAATCAAATCAACACATATTCACAGCATACAGAAAAACATTCCCCCATCACGTCCCCTTTTCTCTCTAAACAAAAGGAAGGTTTTAACTTTAACCTATTAAAATTGCATATAACAAAACAGTTATCAAGCAAGAATTACAGTTACAATATCTAGTTTATTTGTATTTTGTAAAATTAAAGAAAAAATTTTCTATCTATCCTATATTTGTGAATCTAAGGTTTTATATTTAATTTATCTTTTATCATAACCAAGGAAAATTAATTATAACTATCTAGTCTTCAACTACATCAAAGACCTCAGAAGGATATAATATTACCTAAGTAAACAGGAAATGCATTGTAAGCATTATACACCCTTTGGCAGTTTAAGATATGTACATGTAATAGTAGATACCTGCTCCGGCTTTGTATATGACCTGGCCTTGCCTGGAGAGAAGGGTGCTAATGTTACTAAGGCACTCAAGTCAGCAATGCTAGTCATGGGAGTTCCTTGGGCCGTTAAGACTGACAATGGCCCTGCTTATGTATCATAGCAGTTTAATGATTTTGTGAGTTCATGGAAAAATGTCCCATACCACTGGAATTCCATATAATCCACAGGGACAGGTCATTGTAGAGGAACTAATAGAACCCTTAAAGAGCTCTTGAAAAAAATAATTTCCTCAGAAGCCAAGAGAGATTCCCAACCTGGCCCTGGCAGAAGTTCTTTTTCACATTAATTTTCTCAGCTTTGATGACATGGGATTAAGCCCTGCTAACAAACACTGGGCTTACCTGCCTTGGGAGACACCATTGCCCTTGGTGAGTTGGAGGGATCCCATCACCCTTCAATGGAAACCCCCTGATCCCCTACTAACCCGAGGGTGAGGGTATGCTTGCATTTTTCCCAAGAATACCACCACACTGATATGGATACCCTCCAGAGATGTGCATCTGGCAACAGATCAAGAGACACTAGCCAAAGAAGAAGCTTCAGAGGGGTAATGTATGATTTGCTCTGCTACTGCGGCATTAGTAAAGGTCATATCATTATTGGCATGTGACCCTAGATATCAAGCAATTGCCTCAC